AGAAACCCCTACTCCACACCCACAGAACCCCCCACTCCACATCCACAGAATCCCCTACTCCAAGTTGGTGAGCAGAGGCAGGACCTCGGCATTACTGCAGCAGCAGCTGGCATCAGTAAGCCCAGGGGACAGGAAGATCTCGCCAGGAATAACAGACATGCTGGAGGCAGAAATTCAGTGAGGAATGCCCTTTTAAAATATTTTAAAGGGGGTGCAAAGCGAGATTCGAGAAAAGGAGCATTCTAGCCAGGCACTGGGTGTCAAGTTATTCTAAAATATCTGAACATCCAAAAATGTCTTCATCTGTGGGAAACATTTTTTGGTGGTGTTTTGTAAGTTTTCCTTCCTCACGATGTTTTGTTTTGGCTGATTTTAAAGTGCATATGGTATAGGAAGCCCAGAAGTGTTTTGATGGAAACGAATCCTGGGATCTAATATCTGCCACAAGTTATTAAGATTGCTGTAAAATTGCATATTTTATTGTGTCAGGTTTCATTAGAAGGACAGGGACAATTTAGAGGTCACAGATTGGCAGCCCATAGGTAGGCTCACATACTATGAATTTAAAAAAACAAAAACAAAGAATTGTCAGCATTTTTTAAAACCAGGAGGTCCCACAAGGCGGGTAAAAATTTAAATTTCTAGCTCTCTTAGAAAAGAAAATTGGAAAATATGGTAACATATCAAGTGGTACCTACTCACAGTGATGGTATATAGGCTAGTTTCCAGGGAGCAGCTGGTGAGTTTGAATCACGGAGCTTGTGATGCAAACTGACCTTGCAGTCCCGTGCTTTATCCCACAGCGCCACACCAGAACTCTGGTAACACTAGGTAAGTAGCAGAAATTGGAAGGGTATACCCAGCCACTGTTCCCTGTATGCAGGCCAGTGCTGACTCAGCTTGTCTGTCTGACCCCTGCAAGCATCCAGGTAAAGGGCTCCCAGTCTTAGTAGTGATCAATTCTGCCACACGGTGGCAGCACTGGTCTGCCAGCAAGGTCCTCTAGAAGCTGATGTTAGCAGATCTTCCAGAACCAGAAATCTCACCCTTTGCTTCAGATTTATCCCCTGAGAAGCAACATCAACGCATTTCAACACTCTCATTATGCATAAACAGTAGTGAGGAGAGAAATCCTCCTCTTCCCAGCTGCTAATTCTCTCACCTAGAAAATGCCAGCCCCTAGGTCAGATCTGGTATGGTAGGATACCACGACTGCAAACCACAAGGTCAACAGTTCAAACCCACCAGCTGCAAATCGAAAACCCTACAGAAGGTCGCTCAGAGTCAGAACCAACTTGACGGCATTTAACAACAACAAGATCACATCAGGGTAGAAAGAAGCTGAGATGAGAAGCAAGGCAAACATCGTCCTGATTTTGAAATGGCAGATTCATTCCCCATCTAATTCTCATTTCCTCATTTAGGTTACACAGCAGGCGACTTCAGGAAGCAATAGGTTCTTATGCTTCTTCCTGCCGTCTGCTCTCATGCCCCTTCTGGCCCCAGTAGCAACAATATAAATGGCAGCATTTACTAGAACTACTACAGCCCTCAAGGAAAGACATTTGGTATTGTGTTGTTGTTGTTAAATGCCGTGGAGTCAGTTCCGACTCATAGCGACCCTATATAAAGTTTCTATGGAGTGCCTGGTAAATTTAAATCACCAACTCTGAGGTTCAAATCGATCTTGCATATTCCAAAATGCCACTTGCTGATCCCATTTACTCTTAAAATGCAGAAAAAGGGCTTCCAGCAAGATGGCAGACTAGGCAGACACACTACACGGACCCTCTACAACTAAGATACAAGAGACCTAATAAAACAGCCACAGATGAAAATTCTGGCACCCTGAACATCAGAAGAAAGATTAAGAGAGGTGGATGGAGTGCTTGCTGGGAGAAGAGGCTGAGCAGGAACGGTGAGAGACGGGGCGACACAGCTCAACCATCTTGTGAACAGCTTTGGCAACTGAAGGTGGCCTAGCAGAATAGACTTGCACAGGCAACAGGAAAAGTACAATTTCTTCTTTATCACCATGCTCCCCTGGTGAACAGAGGTGTGGTCAGTTCCCACCCTCATCCAGCCACAGCGCCTGCATCCTGGTGAACTCAGCTCAGGCCTACAAAACCCACAGAGCCACCAGACCGGCATTTAACCAATCACCCTGACCCCAGCTTCCCTCTGGCCCTAACAGACATTGAAACCAGATCCACCAAAGACCCCTATGAACTACTTCCGGATTGAGTGCCCTGAACATAGATAACACTGAGACCAATAGGAACTCCATCTAGGGTCAGGAGCTCTGCTGTCATGTCCCTTCCACACCCACCTCATGAGCTCCTTATAGCAGGAAACCACCCCCCCCCAAGAGATCTCTACCCTCCTGGTCCAACAACTGCACTGCTTGTTTTTACAAATACGACACCTCCACAATGCCCAGAGACAACACACAAAGAAACAAGAGAGAACAAGTCAAACAAACAACCAAGATGCAGAGACAGAAAACATTTCTGAGGGGAAAAAGGTAATAGAACTAACTGAAAAAGAATATGAAAATATATGTTAGTACCTTCAACAGATTGATAAAAAGATCAAGGAAAACAAGAACACAAAAAAATTTAGAAGAATTCAGGAAAACACAAGAACAGACAAAATAAATGCAAATTTTGAAACAATACAAAATCTGCAATTAGAAATCTAGAAGACTAATACTTAGCTTTCAGAAATGGACAGACACCTGTACATCAAAATAAAAAAGGAGACAATCAAAAGAACGTAGTAAACATTGTTGTTGTTGTTGTTGTTATGTGCTGTGGAGTCGGTTCCGACTCATAGCGACCCTGAACAGGGTTTCCGAGGCTGTTAATCTTTACGGGAGCAGAACACCTCATCTTTCTCTCACGGAGCAGCTGGTAATTTCGAACTGCTGACCTTGCGGTTCACAGCCCAATTCGTAACCACTACACTACCAGAGCTCCTTAACACAACATAAATAAAAATGAAAAGAAAGCCCACAAAAATAAAGTCAGCATAGAAAATTATGTGGAACAAAGAATATAGCAGCACCACACAGCAATCAATTCATATGTATTGATAATTACACTGGATGTAAATGGATTAAATGTGCCAGTCAAAGACATAAAGAGCAGAATGAATCAGAAAACAGGAGCCTTCAATATGCTGCCTACAAGAGACACATAAGGATAGAGACAGCCTAAATGCCCATCAATAGAACAATGGTTAACAAACTTTGGTACATACACTCAATGGAATACTACAAAACATTAAGGACTAATGATGAATCTGGGTTAAGTATAATATAGCAGTTTGTTTGTGATCGTTTCCCTGGGCACTTGAGTGGTTTTTGGTATGTTCACTATCAAACATGTTGTTAAGTGAGCTATCACAAATAAACTATGTTATACTTGACAATTAAGCCGCTGTTAAAAACAGTTGAATATGAAAACCATGGGCTAGGGCAGAAAAATGATTATAATATGAAATGCTGTGTGAAAAAAGAATATAAACCTAACTGTAATGAGCCAAACCCAACCCAACCCAACCCAACCCAACCCACTGCCGTCGATTCCAACTATAGGACAGGGTACAACCTCCCAGAGGGTTTCCAAGACTGTAATCTCTATAGAAGGAGACTGCCACAGTTTTGTCTTATGGAGCATCTGGTGGGTTCAAATTGCTGACCTTTCAGTTAGCAGTCTATTACTTTAACCACTATGCCACCAGAGCTCTCCATAGTAATGAAAACCACCTACAAATAAATATAATAACTCTGTGAGAATTAGTGAGAGACAACAGCATGTTAATAGGTCATATTTGTGTGCCAGGAGTATAAATGATTGGTTCCTTATGTCTACCAAACTTCTATCAGTATGTGGCGGTGGTGGTGGTAATGTGCAGTGGAGTTGGTTCCTACTCATAGCAACCCTGTACAAGGTTTCTGAGGCTGTAAATCTTTCCGGGAGCAGAAAGCCTCATCTTTCTCCTGTGGAACAGCTGGTAGTTTCCAACTGCTGACCCTGAGGTTAGCAGTCCAATTCCTAATGTATTTTACTTTAATAGTATGTGAGCGAAAGAGAAAGAAAAAGTGAGACATTTCATAGCCACTGTCAAGGTCCCTGGTCTATTGAAATTCAGACCTTGAAAGCTCCTCTGATCCTCGTATTATCACAGTAAAAGGCTCTTGGGAATCTGCACCTCCCGGATTCACAATCACGCTAGTAAACAAAGCTTCCAGGGCCCTGGAGTCCTTACTATACACCAACCGAGTCTTTATTAAATACCAGTGTTATCCTACCCAGAAGTGTCTGTATTTGTTTAACTCTTAAGGTGACCCCAAACACCATCTGGAAGATAGGATAAGATCAATATGGTTCTCGAATGCCATTTTAATCACGTTTTGCACTGTACAATGACAGGGGGATGGTTGTTTTTCAAGCAAATTCACTAGGCGGCCATTCCTCCCTGTCCTAGGATGAATAACCTTGAACAGAAAACAACACTTTCCTTCCCCCCAGGGAATCCCATTCCTGAGCTGAGAGGACAGGATTTCAGGAAGAATGAGCACAAAGGAAAAAGCAAACTAGGGAAGGGAACAAGGAGGCTTTCTAAGTCTTTTCCCAGTGCAAACCGGAACTAGAGATGTAGGTATCCCTCCTAAAGATAACACCCAATCCCAGCCACTACTATTTGAAATGTCACAGCGATGGTTCCCCACCTCCTCCTACAGTGCACCTATAAACTCGGGAGCCTGAGCGGTTGCGGACTCCACACAACAGATGCAGCCTTCAGGCCAGAACCCAGAGGAGCCTTCCTCTTCACTGGCCCCTCAGCGGCTGGTGGGTCTGCCTGGCCCCAGAAGAGCGTGTGTGCGTGTGTGGCGCGGGAAGGGCCAGAATAAGCAACAACAAAGCAAATCCGAGGTGAGGTCTGGGACTGAGTTGGCATGTCGGCAGGACCAGTTGTGGCCCATGTTTCTTCCATTAATTCTTCTCTGGGCGGTTTCTGTTCAAGACAGCTTTCGGCGCAAATTCCAGCTTGTCCTTAAGGCTCACCACCTGGGTATGGTCCTTGCCTAACAGCTCATCCAGTTTCCGGTCTTCTCGGCGCTCTGAGATGCTCTTCTCCTCCTCCACAGGCTGGGGAGCCTTCCCGCGGATAAACCATTCCAGGTGGTAGCCCACAGCACCGACCACAAAGGCCACCGGAAACGTGACATAAGGAGCATAGGTACGCACCACGGTCCAAAGCACAGGCCACATGGCATCTGCAGAAGAGGACGGGGCAGCGTTAGGGAGAAACCAGCACCCCTCCGCCACCAACTATGGACAACCCACCAGGACTCTCCACTTACCAGGCAGCCTGGCCCAAGTTACTGAGCATTTACCTACCAGTCAAGACCAATGCCAGAGGGTACCTGGTTTATTGGGTATAGTTAGGTCTCTGAAACAATCTAGGAAGTTCTGAAAGATTCAATTCTCGGGGAACAGAGGGACAAGTCTCCATTTAATCTATTATCCCTCTGATGACTGTGGATCCAGATACAGCAGTGTTCCCCATGAGGGTACCTCTTTGCTTTTCCTACTTAGATCCCCAAGTCTGTTGTTGAACCCAGGCATTCCGTCTACAGTTTGCTGACATTTCAAGAAGGGAAAAGAAGTCTTTCTCTGCTCTCCACATTCTTCCCATGAGCATGGCCAGGTACTCTTCCCCACCCACGCTGACAATCCCAAATTGAGGGTCCTGCCTCTCTTCATGTAACGTATAAGAAGCACACTGAAATAGCCAAGCCTCTAACCCATTACCCAATCATTCTGGATAAAAAGATCAAGGTTATTTTTCCTATTCTGAACTTAGTATTTCTAAGACAGAAATGGAGCACACTTGTACTTTATAAATCAGCCACCCCTATGAGGCAGGTGGCCTTACCAGAGCAAAGTAACTTGCTCAAAAGTCTCAACTAACATATCTTTCTGCTTATACCCCAGTAGTTACTTCTCCAACTCAGCTATCTCTGCTCTAAAGTATATAAGCAAAACCTCACAAAGGGTGAGAGGGTTCTCTCCCTCTCTCTCTTTAGTTCCAATATTGTCTTTGGAGAAATCTCAAGTGTTTGGGGCTCTCGAATAGTGATGGTACATCAGGAAAAAAGACAATAACAACAAAATAACTCAGAGCTGCTCCACGATTCCTCTCCTGGTCCTTCATCTCAGCACCAGACATGGACCATGCTCAACAATTTACACACAATACTTCTTTGAGGTAGAAAATATTAGCCTGGATTTTTTGGTCTATGGCCACAGAGGCTCAGAGATGTGATGCTAACTTGCCCCAGATCACTAGAAGCAGTGGCTATTGGTAAGTGCCATCGAATCAGTTCCAACTCACAGCAACTCTGTATAGGGTTTCCAAGGCATTTGGGATCTTCATGGAAGCAGAAAGTTGCATCTCTCTCCCACGGAATGGTCAGTGGGCTTGAACCACCAACCTTGTAGTTCGCAGTCCAGTGCTTATCCTAGAAAGTCACCATGCTCCGCACTAAAAGCAACAGAGTCAGTGATTTTGAGCCTAAGCCTCTCCAACTTCACATTCAAACCTTGTGCTGTTTCTCATGGCAAGAATACAATGCAGGCATGTGCATGATTTTTGTACAAATCCTGGACCTAGGGTGAGCTTCCTGCAGGTTTTTTCCTCCCCCCATCAGCTTAGCATTTCACTACCTGGGGGAACCTTTCGTGCAAACACAGAAATTTGTGACATTTTAAGATTTAGAAGTTAAAAGAGGACTTAGAAGTTGAAAGAGAACCTAAAGCTAACGCTTCTGTATTTTCTTTCCCATCTTTTAAACAAGTTCCCTCTAAGTAAATACTTTTCCTAAACACCAATTCCCCATTCAGATTTCCAATGTTTTAGAACATAAGAAATGAATATGATGTGTCAACATGAGCAGGGTTTCTCTGTTGCCCTGCTCACATTCTAACCATTACTAAATATGCCCGTTCACTCATTTATTCAACACTTAGAACCGTTTTCTTGGTGTCAGGCCCTATGCCGGGCTTATCCTCTGTCTGCATAGCTTGTAAGATTTTAAGTTCCAAGGAAGCGAGAGCCATGCCTGTGTTGTCTACCACCTTGTCTTAACGATCCCCCTTCCACATCTGGTGCAGGACAGGGCAGTGTTTCGTTCTGTCGTGCATGAGATTGCTGAGTCAGAACCGACTAGACAGCACTAACAACCTCCAAATGACATAAAGTGCTCAAAACTGTTTGTTGAATGAATGAATAGCAGCTCAAGTAACCCACCAGTGTAAAATCACAGCAGCAGTCTCACACACACACACCCCACTCGGAAAGAGGCTGGGAGTTGAAACTCAGTTGAAAGCCGCAGATGCCTTTGCTGACTAACGGACGCTAGACACGCTATCAAACCATTCCCAGGGCATCACAGTGTGATGTGACTCGTAAATACAGTGACGCCTAATTCCCGCTCCGCAAGGAAAGAGCTTGCCAAAGCGTCCGGTAAAGGTCAACGGAGCTGCCGGGAAATCGACCCGTGTTCTGGGGCCCCGGAAGTTGCAGTCCCAAATTCGAGATTTGTTAACAAGGACAAAGTGAAGCCTGGCTGTCACTCAAGTCCCGATCCCGGGACCGGGGCTCAGGTGCGATCGGAGTCCAGGTGTCTACCCTTCTTCCACTGCTGGGTTCCCGATCCTCGACCCCTACTCCATCAAGTTCACGGCCTCGTCGGCTTCCGGCCTCACCCGGCTGCCTGAGAACAACAGCTCTTGGCTGCAGTGGGCCCCCAAACTCGGATCGAAGTCCCGGGAAGAGAAGGAGAAGTCAGGACAGGGCAGAAACTGGGGATCAGCTCTCCCCTAAGTCAAATGTCACGGCCTGGAGCCGTCACCTTGGCAGCAGACGGCCCCAGCAGCCTTCCCCGATCGGAGAGCTGCCCACCGGGGACCGCACGCTCACCTGTGACCCGGCCCACACGGCTCGGTCCCCCGGAGCACGAGCGCCACCGTTCCCAGGGGCTCGCAGGGCCTGCCTCCCCTCCGCCCACTGGCCGCCGGCTCTCTCGGAGCGTCGGGATTGGCCCATCCAGAGGACGAAGGAAGCTAGGCATCTCTAACGGAGTCCGGCTCCGCAAAAACGAAAACAGCGCCCTCTGATGGCCAGGAGGTTTCCCTTGCTAGCGCCACTTGCTTTTCCTGAAAGGTCGTCCACGCATTTGTTCAACTGACATTTATTAGGCCTTCAGAGCCGACTCGACCGCACTAACAACAACAATATAAGAGCCTAAATGGGTCCTGGTATGGCTCTATGGGTTACTGCGTTGGATTACAATGTCAGTTTGAACAGCAATGTCTGTGGTTCAAACTCACCAGTCACTCTTCGGAAACCCTATACAGAGTCGTAGTGGGTCGGAACCGACTCGTCGACACTTAACAACAATAAGAGCCTGGAGCCCTGATGTGGCGCTGTGGGAAAAACACTGGAGGGAAAGATCGGTTTGAACCACAAGATCAACAGTTCAAACTCACCGTGCTCTCCTCAGAAACCTTATACAGGGTTGCTGTGAGTCGACGTCAACTCGACGGAACTTAACAACAACAAATAAGAGTCAAGTCTGAGCAAAAAAATAAAGACCTTGATCCTTGATCTCAAGAAACTGTCCTTAGCAGAGTCTAGTTGACTGCTTAAAACCTCTTCATTTAACCACTTTCCATAGACTCAAGTTGACTTAGAGATGAGAGAAGAGGAAGGGCCGGTTGGTCCAAAGTGTGGTGAGACCTGGGGACACCTGAGCCTTTGGGCAAGGACACAGCCACAGAGGGCTAGAGCTGAGAGTGACGTATCCATCTGATATGAAGGGAGGGGAAACACACAAGAAAGAGCACCCAAACTTGCAGATAGTGCCCATCTGACTTAGCCTCAATGGCTTGATAATCAGAACTGACTGTTGTTGTTGTTTAGTGCCAACGAGTCGGTTCTGACTCATAGCGACCCTGTACAGGGTTTCCGAGGCTGTAACTTTTACGGGAGCAGAAAGCCTCATCTTTCTCCCACGGAACAACTGGTAGTTTCGAACTGCTGACCTTGAGTTTCGCAGCCCTATTCGTAACCACTACGCTACCAAAGCTCCTTACTTGTTGTTGTTGTTGTTATGTGCCATGGAGTCGGTTCCGACTCATAGCGACCCTATACAGGGTTTCCGAGGCTGTATGTTTTACCAGAGCAGAAAGCCTCATCTTTCTCCCTCTGAACGGCTGGTAGTTTCGAACTGCTGACCTTGTGGTTCGCAGCCCGATTCATAACCACTATGCAACCAGAGCTCCTTACTAGAGGAACATAAAAAAGAAAAGAATTTTTCATAAAGGAAATGAGGGCAAATTGCTACAATTTAATTAACTTGACCTATACTCATGGGGTGGTGGTAGTTATGTGCCTAGAATCCTGGAGGTAGTAGCTCAAAATGCAAACAGAGAGGGACGGAGTCTTCACATTAAGTATCAATGCTATCCCCTCTGTATAAAGGGTAGATAGGGACAGGCAATTTAGACACTGGCTACCTAAAATGAGGGGGCGATAAAGGCTCGAAGTGACTGGCTTACAAGATTTCAAGAGGGAATTTAGTTTGAGAGTGTTGAGGGGAAGATAGAGTACCCGCTGAATAGTTTTCTTCTTATCTAGATGGGTCTGGTAAAAAGAGATTGGGGATAAGATTCTTATGACTCAATAGTGAGTAATTGTTATCATGACTAATTGCGAATGTCACAACTGTAAAGGTAGAAGCTTTATAACAAAAACAGGGAGTAGTTAATCTTACAGTCCAGAAACAAAGGACCCTAGGACCACCAAGAGAGAAGAGCACAAGCGGAACATGGGACCCTCTCCAGAGAAGCAGTGACACCAGAGATGGAGGCAGAGATGGGGACAAGGAGAGAGGGAGCAGCTGAGGACTCTAGATTCATGAAAAGAAAGGGACTGGAAGCTGGCGGCCAGGAGGCAGACTTGCAGAATGTGCCCTTTGGTGGTGTAAATTATTATATATGCCTGAGTGAAAAAAAAAAAAAAAAGCTAAAATGAATAGAGAGAAATACTGTTAACTGGTGGTACATGGTGGGGATTATAATCATTGTAATGAAACAAAGTATATGATTTGTTGAATGTAAAACTAATGATCTGCCCTATAAACTTTCAGTCAATTCACAATAAAAACTTAAAAAAAAAAAAACCTCTTCAGATCTTTCTAGCTGTG